TCCATACTTTTTCAGAATATCATGTTCTTCTTTTATTTTGTTTAGTACAGAGGAACATAGGATAACTGTCAACAGTCATACCGACTTCGAGAATTGCCATTTTTTTGAATAAATTATAAATAGCTAAATGTAAATCAGCCTTTAAATGGTGTAGAAACATAGTACTCTGTAAAAGAGAACATGAAGATGGAAATTAAAGTGGAAAGTTTGGACTATGAACAGTTTTTTTTCCTGCCGTTGGAGATATCCCCAACACTTACTCCATTACAATTCCAAACATTTTGCAGACTACTAAAGGCGAAAAAGAGCAGAAATATATCTCATATCATCATGAACTTGAAGAATTATCTCCGATACTGCAGTTCATCTGAGCTTTACATACAAGTTTCAGTGTCTTTTAGCTCCTTGTTTAGATTTTTCTGGCCTTTAGGGTGATAATATCTTTGTGATGTTTGCACTGCTATCCACATTGTTTGAGACATTTGTAAAGTAACATCTGGATACATCCACCAGCAAGAGTGATGGAGTAAAACATTTTGTTTTTTCATCAAATTCTCAAGTATTTTTCCCTCATTTTGTAAGGATGGGTTACAGGATGAGTGCAGTTGTTCTGGAATTAGTGGGTGTCATTGAAAGCATCAATGCATGGGAGTTAAGTACAGAACCCATTACATATTACCAAGGGTGCTTATACATCCAAACAAAATTAACTGCTGACTGCAGCAACTGATGTGAATAATTTGGCCTGCCCTGAGATTAAAAAAAGAAACGTTGTCAGTTTAATTACTATATTTTTATCTGCTCACTTTGAAGCTTTTATCAGCATTTTATTAAGTCACCTCAGAAGACCGTAGCACATACAAAAACAAGACAGGCTGAAAAAAACAGCATTTCACTCTAATGTTTTTTTCATCAGATTTAAATGCACAGACTGAAGGGCAGGAGGAACAGGAGGGCATTATGTAAATCCCTGGAACAGCCAATGCAATATTTTCCCAGTTTTTGAGCTCCTGGCTGCAGTTTTTTTCCCAAAGAGCTGCAGTAAAAAAAAATGTGAACTCTGCACCAAACATCTGTACATACAATTCAATTTAAGCAGTTTGTCTACCATTTCCCAGAAGATTGATGTTCTGTGTGCCATCACTCCACTACAGCGTGACTATCTACTGTTGACTCTTTGATTTTCCATTCTGAGGTTGTCTTATCTGAGGGAAGATGAAAAGCCCCTTGGTTTTCACTGCTTTGGAGCAAGGTGTATTCACACACACTGTGTATCTTCCTGACATTAACATTCCAGTCATATCACAACACTTGATTCAAGCTTCCAACAAATAAGTCAAAGCTGGATGGAGTTTTTTTGTGTGTAACGGTTAACAACACGTTGCGTGGAATATCTATTACTTGCATGTCGGTCCATTTGCTGCAGTCTGTTATACTGGTAATAAGAATTGAATAATCAAATCCTGGCTAATCAAGCATGCATCCTTTGGTTTCATACCATCATTGACCAATCTATGACCACTAATGCATTCAATCCAAGTCCTTCATTTGACATAGGCTGCAATTGTATTACTACAATATCTCTGGGATATCTTTTCAAGGAAAATAAAGGACAGAGTTCACTCAAGAAAAAAGGCATCATCTCAAGGTCAAGTATGAAATTCATAAATAAAGAGCTGTTTGTAATGTAATTATAAGGCTTTATTAGCCCTTTTCAATAACAGGGAGGAAAGTGATTTCTCCTTGAAAGGTTTCGCTGTACTCAACGTAAGAGGAAAATGCCTGATTATAATACTTGTGTCCTAAGTGCAAGGTCACCTGCAGATCCACATCCCCTAAGGAACAGGAGATTAAATTAGGTTGCACCTGGACTACCTGTAACATTTATGAAAAAAATGAACATTGATCGATAAACTAATAGAATAAATTAAGACCATGGTGACATGACAGGGAGCCTTTTATATAAGTGGGTATTATATTTTATTTTTTACTTTTGACACAGCATGTCCACATTTGTATTCACATGCACGGAAATAGCCTGTTTGTTATGGAAGACAATCGTGACTTATTTATCCTACGGAGGTTGCGGAGAGTGCTTTGTTGCCACTCAACAGAAGCTCTACTGCTGAATCACTTCAAGGAAAAGAAATACACTCACTGGCTTACACTGACGAGCACCTCTCAAGCTCAGTTGGTTTAATTAAAATAGAAAAGTGGAGTGTAAAAACTGCAAGTTATGGCTTTTCTGTTTGTTTAACGTCCTAGCTTGTATTAAGCATGCACACTTGAGAATGTATAAGTCTTCCTTTCAGACTCAAACAAAAAAAAGCAAATACTGATAAGCATATTTTACAAAATGTCAACGGAAACTTTAAAGTTAGATTATTTTAGTTTTGAAAGAAGAAAAACCAAATTCTTTCTCTTGAGAAATTAACATGCTGCTTAAGCCTCTTGGTCTGGAATGGAACCAATATCTTTTTTGTGGCTAATGTTAGCATAGATTACATGACATAACTGAGTCACTGTCTTTATTACCTGTTTCCATGTATGTTACTGTTACAATATTACTATTACGATACCAGCATTTACAATGATCTTGGACTTGCAACTTGTGGCTACTTTTCGGTAAAAGTTAGTCTTGCTTAACCTCCCGTTATCGAGTAAGTAAAACAAGATGGTCGTCATATCAACAAAGTCATTCTAAACCTCGATCCTGAGCTAAAAGTGGACAAGGTACAAAGCGTCATCACATTTAATATAAACATATTTATGGACATCAATATACTTTAGCTGGTTAATACTTTTATTTCTGCAGTAAGCGCCCTCTTATGGTGAAACCCTGCAATTGAATAAATGGCTGGGATTAAGGAAACATCCAGCTGTCAGTTGGCTTTCAGCCGGCTGGCCTCCAACTGGGAGGGGGGAACCTTAGTGGCTATATGGAAACAAATTGGACAATCACTGCCAATTACGTTATACTCAATTAAGGACATTGCAACTTTATTATCGTACGTTATTAGCACACAGGTCTGCCACATCCGATAAAATAACATAGTCTGGAAACTAGAAGAAAATCACACAAAGTTTCAAGACGAACAAACCCCAAGGCTTCTATAGTTATGATTAAAATTGTACTTGCCATGTTCAAGCACAGGTATTATTTTTGTTACAGACAGCTATGTACAAAAAGGACACTGGACTAGTTTGAAGTGAAAGACTCATACAGAGTGGAAGAACAGCTCATGTCCCAGGAGGTTGCATTCAAGGATCTCTCAACAAAAATACATTTTTAGCTTCCTCCTAAATAAAAGTGATTCAGCACTGATTAATTTACCATATTCTGAGACGGATTTGCTGCGCATCTGTGGGCTCTTTACAAGCAACAAATCAGTGTGAAACCAATTACATATACTTTTAGTCAACATTGGGAAAATCAAAGGTACTTCAATGACTCAGCATTTTGGAGATACACACCCCTATGACTAGCGTAACCATCCTTAGTGTGACTGTGAGGGAGAAGAGACGAAGGGGTTCCATTTCAGGGATGGTAAAAGGGGAAAGATGAGGTGGAGCAAAGACTCAGAAGACCCATCCAACACTTACCAAGTCGAACCAGATTACACTTTTAGCAGCAAAAAGATATTGTTATTCCAGCTGAAGATGAAGTAGAAAATCATTCCCGCTCCCTCTTGCTGCGGCTCTATTTCCACATCTTCCCACACACCTTTCCACACATTAGATGTGTTCCATTTTGACCCCCGCTGAGAAGTAGCCGGTGTTAAATGAAAGCTTCTCTTTTTGTTGATCCACAGTCACGACTTCTGTGCAGTGAAAATGGTAATTGGAACAGGATGACTCAAAGAGGCTTCTTGAGTTTAATTCGGTGGTGTCATCAGGTCAAAGCTGTATGGCATTGACATATGAAGAAAAAATCGAAGGCTTTTATTTTTTCTTCATGGCTTTGTGCCTGTAGGATCATTTTTTCAGGTGTCTTTTGAATCTAATGGTTCTAAATGTGAAGTAGTTGTTGACGGAAGTTAACGTTTTTAATTTGTTTCTATGACATTAGGCGCTTTCACACCGCAGTACTTTTCCCACAAAGGTTCATCAGAACTCTTTAGTTCTCATGAACTAAGTACAGATCGCGTTCACACCGGAATAAGTCCCTGGGGGAGGATTAGGCAAATGAAGCCGCTGACGTCACTTCTTCTTCTTCTGCTTTGGGTTTACTGGCAGGCCGCAAACAACTTCACGGCGTATACTGCCACCCGAAGTCCCCGGCTGGAAGTCCCCGGAGTTGAGGACTGGCTTCAGTAGAAGCTGCTGGGACTCCCAGCAGCTTCTACTGAAGCCTTCCGAGTAAATCGCCAGAACGCCGACACCTCCTCATCTCCACCGCTCCCATGTTTTCTTTTGTGTTGCCATAAGTTAGTCTCTCTGCGTTTCTGCGCTGGGCTAATGCTAATGCTAATAATGCTAATGCGAGGATAATAAAATGGCGGCTTCACAAAACTTTTTGGGAGTTTTACGGGGCGTGGTTTGCATTCCGCCCAGCCAATCAGACATAGGAACCTTTTTCTCCCACGAAAGTACCTGCTCTCTAGAAGGGACGGAAAAGGGGGTAAAAAGGTTCTCATGAACTAATTTTAGGTCCGGCTCTTTTTGGCGTGAACGCGACATTTCGGAACTATATCGGAACTACAGTGGGAAAAGTACTGCGGTGTGAACGCGCCTCTTGTGACTCTCAATTATGCAATTTATTGCCACTTGTTTATTTGCTCAATAAAACCTTTGAATCCAAATTGACTCTAAATGAGTTGGCGGAACATCTCCCAACAGCATGCCAATGAGCTATCCAGTCTTTTCAAATTTTACACCTCCAAAAAACAAAAGCAGAACAAAGTCATTCACAAAGGCCTTCGTGATTTCTAAAGTGAACCTCTTCTTTCTTGTCTGTCTTTTTTGTCTCCTCATTCTTTCTCTTCTTCTCCATTCTTCAGTTTAATGTCAGGTCTTGCTGCTTTAGACGCCAAGTGCTCCAGCCGCCTGGGCATCATGACCATCTCCTACTACCTCTGGACCACCTTTGTTGCCGTGGTAGTGGGCATCCTCATGGTTTACATTATCCACCCGGGCGGAGCCGCTCAGAAGGAGGACTCTGATGGAAGCAAGAAGCCGATGACCAGCTCTGCTGACGCTCTGCTGGATCTCATCCGGTAAGAGGCTGGAGCTAACATGCTAGCTCAGAGGAAACTGTCATTAACCTAATCAGAAAGTACTCATTTAAGGGTCTCTTATCATGCAAAAACGGGGGTACAACGGAGCTGATCCAGATTTGCGTTCGAAATGACGTAATATCAGAAATTTGGATCCACGCCCGCTATCAGAAACAATGCACGACGTGTTTTGGACGTAATATGGTCTTTGTTTACATTAGCAAGCATCACTAACACTCAGAGCTAACCTGTACTGGAGAGAGTATGTGTAAAAAAGCAAGAAATTAAAAAAGGAACTCACCTTGTGGTAAACCCGCGAGAGAAAAAGCATTTGAGCTCCATACTGTTTCAGAAATAATCCTTGTTGTGGTTTGGAACATGATATGGCGTTTAATCACGGCATTTCGTGTTATAATCACAACATTTAATCTATTGATTCGTGTTCACCAACACGATTTTCCCCTTTTTTTCGTGTCACACAACGATTTTAAAAGCAATGTATTTCTATTGGTAGTATGTTTCGTGCCTGCACCACGTCTTTTTGTCCGGTCGGGTCTTGGAAGACCGGAAGCTGTGTGGTTCATAAAAACATTTTCTTACTCAATATCAAGCCACGATTATTGTTTTTATTTTAAATCCTTGCAGTATCAATACTAATTCGATTGACTTTTATATTTGATCCAATTGGTAGATAGGTAGCGGTGCACAGCTGATAGACAGGGACTTGTAGTTTTTAAAGATATTATTGATTTTCTTTGAATTAAAGAGTGTAAATACTGAGTTGAGAGAACAGTCAGGGGATTTGGGTGATGGGAGACACATCTATGGATTCAGAATTTCAATAGCTTACCATTAAATTACGGATATACCTTTCTGTCTGTGATGTTTTAAAAATCAGATATTAATGTGTAGAAGTAAAACATGTGAAATAATATAGCAATATCCTGTAAAATTATGTGAAAACATGAATAAAACTACACATCTTCAGATGTTATACATACATAAGTGTCCTACACTAATAATAAAAAGTATAATTTGTTGTGTTAACACTTTAAACTTGACAGTTTTTTTATCCCGCACCACCTAGTGGTTAAAGCGCATTATTGCATTTTTTTGTTGAATATGTTATATTTGATGAAAAAAATATTAAGAGTACATACAAAATAGGGGGAAAGTAGAAGGTCAATGATAGAAATATAGAATATAAAATATCAAGAAGATACTGTAAGTGATCTCTACAATATAACTGTTTAGTGCCGGATGTACAAAGATATTAATAGGAGGATGTGCAAAACAGAAAAACGAATTAACCTTTATTTAAACATTAAAGAATACTTTAGGTTAAGGTCTTCTTTTAAATAAGAAAAAAGCTTTGGGGGTATCTACAGATAAATATTAAGCCTGACAAAGTACTTAACGTCTAATATATTGCTTTCCTGCAATGTTAACTATGTTGAAGCACTTATTTTAACTGATATTATACACATTAATTATACTCTTATGTATGTAGATAGTATAAGAAATGTGCAGAATACGACAGTTTAACCTGTTTCACACCTTCCCCCCGGTACCGGGCGGATAAACGCGTCATTTGCAGGAAACAACGTCTAAGGAATCTTAATATTGAATAAAACTATGAATGTGTTATATCCATGTAACGGGAAGAAACTCAGCTAACTGATCTTTTTAATTTTTTTTTTTCAAAAAAAACCCACATTGCTAGCACTCAGCCTCTGAATTAGCCTCAAGCGGAAAAAACGTAACATACTAAGGCAACTAAACTCACTCTAACTCCCTTATTACTTATCCTAGATGCACAACCAACCACTCTTTTTTGGTGTCCTGGAGACACTGAATCTAACGGTGCCCACCTCAACACTCAGTGATAAACATTCGCGACGCTCTAAACGAAAGCGTACATCATCACATGTGGAGCTAAGAAGCTAAACACGTAAATACCTTACCTTGGTCAAAAGTGGTCTTCAATGGCATTAAAACGATAAAAAAACGATGCTGCAGTTAATCCATAGGTTCATCCTATGTGTCTGTGCCTTCTTTGAAATTATTTCTGATAATCCATAAGCAATACAACTGCGTTTTAGTTTCCAAACTCCAGAAGGAGACATTCCTCCACTTTGGTTTCGTTTTCCACACGCGAAGCAACCACATTTTTTCTTTACAACGTGTCTGGATGGGAGCCTCCCCCTTCGATTCTATTGGCTCTAACGGTCACAAGGGTATGTCAACCATCCAAATCGAGCAAGGGGGGCCAGAGATAGGTCAAATCCACCCAAATGACCCCAGATGGCCCAGTTTTTGGCTAAATCTCTCTAAAAAGGTCAAATTTCACTTGTTTTGCATCAATCTTGATACAGGGTACTTATTATATGTTGTACTTTGGATTCCTAAAGCTTTTAGTCTACTAACCCATCATCCAAGGGTAGTTTTCACTATCTGTAAAAAATAATTTTTGGACGGACACTATAATTTACAGTTTTTTACTATGTAAAATCTGAATTTTCTTTAAAATAAAAAACATTTATATTGATTCTGACACTTCTACATCCAACTCACAGGTTTATCATTACTTTGAGAACAAAGATTATTAATTTAACCCTTTTAGAAGGGAAGATATGGTCATTTGTTCTGGGAATGTCATTTTCGAGCCTGAGACCTGAAAAACAGGCTCAGAGTGGAACAGGTTAATGGTGGAGGTATACACACATATTGATAGATGTCTTGTGCAATGCACTGTTGAGGAACCTGCGACCCAAGTTTTTGATCATTGCACTACACCGTAGTTGTGTATATGATATGTCAATAAACCTTTGAAAATCTTGAAATCTTGAAAGGGATGTGAAAAATAGCCACTATATACAGTCTTTAATTAACTATTAGTAGAGAATAACGAGTAATGAATATGCTTTATAGGGATCTGCAGATAAATGTTTAGTCTTTTCAAGCAGCAACTATCAAATATCTCGCCTGATTTTTGGCACTTGACAATCACCTTCCCTGAATTTTACTCAGGTGTAACTAAAGTCTGATTTAAGGGTTGTTTATATTTCACATCATTAATCAGAATCTGCAAAGTAACTAAAATAAATGTAGTGGAGTACAAATACCAGGTTAACCTCTGAATTGTAGTGGAGTAGAATTACAAAGTAACAATGAGCTGTCATGTGGGTATATATTAATGCTGCCCATTATGGACACAAGCAATTTTCACCCAGGGCTGGACCCTTTCGAGTCCAGTTTTGGATAGTCTGCCGTGGTTTCATTCCATTTCATAGAGCTGTTTGACGCTCGGCGTAACCTTGGCACACTGCCACTCCAACATCCAATCACAGAGCTTGAAGATTAATCACGGGGTTTGTCAAGCAAAGGGACTGTAGTCCCAAACGATAGCTGAGGATTATGGGTAGTGTAGTGTCTTCGGCCATCCTAAAGAGCGAAAAAACTATGTGTTTCTCCGGATCGAAGGGGGAAAACACAAAAGCATTGTACACAATTTAAACCAATCAATGTTGTGTAATTAACAAGGATAAACTGATGTTTTTAGTTGATGAGTACTGCAGATTACTATGCAAATTTCGAGACCGGTGTAGGTACCATATGTGCACGGCCTACCAGATCAGCCCGGGGTTCGTTACGCTTACCAATGACGTCACGCATTGGCTGTACGGCAACCCAAGAGGACATTTTACACGGCCAAATTCCGCAAAGAATATTAAAAAATAACAATCGACAGTGAATGTATGTTAGTGAAACTGTGTCAGGAAAGTGAAGTGTTAATTAAGGAATGTTAATGAAGAATTGAAATGCATAAAATAGAAAGTTAATATGTAGCATATCCCTCTGAAATATGGTCGTAGACTTTACTGATGATTTAGAATTGATTGAAACTCCAGACTCAACGTAAGAGCTTGTGCCTCTTCGGGGGGTGCTAACATTTAAACATAAACTTTATTCTTTACTTTCTCCGTCTTTATATGTAGAAGATATCAGATACGTCATGTTGTTTCCATAGCAACAACAACTTATAGCGTAAACTCGCCTTCAAAATAAAAGCATCTAAATAAAACAGGAAGTTAACCTAATTTACATTTGATTGAAAAGTTTGAAAAGTTTATTAACAGCTTGTATTTAAGATGTATACAACTGCAACGAAAGTAACAAAAACAATGTAATATCCTTTTCAGTTTCAAAGAACACAAATTGGGTTATTTACATAATATGTTTACATGATTTTGTTGTTCAATAAAACAACCAGAGAAGCGATCTGCAAGGAAACATAGCACACCGTGTCCTCATGCTCCTGTTTCACCTGCTTAATACAGGTATCATCACTGCTACTGTGGTCATATCGGGGACCCCTAACATTTACAATAGTTGAGATGTGAAGGGGGTTATGTTTTTTGTCTGTGTTCTGGGTTCCTGCAGTTTTTTGAACAGACAGTACACACGTTCAGACTCTGAACGTGTGTACTGTCTGTGGGAGTTTACGCTGTTGACAGGAAGTTGTTGTTGCTATGGAAACAACATGACGGTATCTGATATCTTCTACATATAAAGACGGAGAAAGTAAAGAATAAAGTTTATGTTTAAATGTTAGCACCCACCGAAGAGGCACAAGCTCTTATGTTGAGTCTGGAGTTTCAATAAATTCTAAATCATCAGTAAAGTCTACGACTATATTTCGGAGGGATATGCTACATATTAACTTTCTATTTTATGAATTTCAGTTCTTCATTAACATTCCTTAAAGGGGACCTATCATGCAAAATGCACTTTTGTACGTCTTTTATACATGAATATGTGTCCCCGGTGTGTCAGGGAACTCACCAAGTGTCAGAAAACACAACCCTCTCTCTTTTCCTCCATACCCAAATATCTAAAAACGTGGCTGCAACGGAGCTGATTATTATTTGAATTTTTCTGACGTCAGAAAAGGGGTGCTCCGCCTATATGGGCAACTCTCCACCTATCAGGGGAATGAG